GAAGAGTTTAATGCATTCTAATGACTAATGTGACTCTAAACTTTAAAGTTGTTTTCTGCGTATTAATTCCTTGCATCTCTTGGATCTCCTGACTGACGGAAAAAGGTGCAGCTTTTACTACAGGAGCCACTGCTGACATAACCTGACTCCGCCAGATGGATATGCGGAGCAAATCCATCTGGAAACCTTCCATTGAAGTAATTTTGGGAAGGGGCGAAAATACTGGTTAGCTGATTGGCCTATGTTGGTGATAGACGGGCCAAATAAACCAATCAGATCAACGAAGCATATGACGTACTAACAGAGCGACTATGAAAACACAACCACAAGCCAGGCTACTCTTGTCGAAACCAGTCGGGAGAAGAGCAAAAACATATTTTCCTCTGAGAAAAGCCTCCAGAGCAGTGCTTTGCTCTTCTTTCAGTGAAGAAATACTCTGTAATTCCGATAAAACTTGCTCGATAGCCACGCTAACGCTAGTTTCATCGGCTGAAGCCGCCATGTTCTTTAGACTGAACTGTCGCGCTTCTCGTTGCGTCACACCTCAACCCGCCTCAAAGCCAACGCTGATTGGACGTTCGTTTGGTGAACGGCTCCAAATTTTCTTTCATGGAGAGTCTCCAGACTGATCTGCGAGTGAAACCTTGAAAGCTCGCGAGATCAGGATGGTCTCACGAGGCTAATGCTGACAGACTGTGCTCCAAAAATGCAGGGACATTTTCTGTAACATCAAGTCACTCCATGTCTTGAAAGTACAGTATGAGTGATCCTTAGATGCTCTCCCTTTTAGAATAGTGTGTGTATAAGATCAGCAGAGAGGAATTCAGTGTTATGCTGCTCCTTAATTTTTCTCTGATGTCAAAGTTTATCTTTGATTTCTTCTTATTTAAATGGTACATCTAATTATAAAGTTTTTATTTTTATTTTCTAATGGGTCAGATTAACATTGGCTTAATAAGTGAGATGTATCATCAGTTCTCGGATGCACCAAAGTCAGTAAAATATTTCTATGGTGTTATTGATATGAAATAATGTTAATATTCAGTAGTTTCTGGAGGTCTGTATAATACCCCAAAACAAACTTATTAATGTAATTTTTGCACTACTTAAATATAATTTTTCTCAAGTTTAAGTAAAACGTTGCCCTGGCCAGCCAGAGTAAGTTACTACACTGTGTAGATGACATATTAGTCTGGAAAGGAGCAGGTCGAACCCAATTTCATATGTAGAATTACATTATCCACCTTTGTCTGATGGATCCTGTCAGATGAATTTTTTTTTATAAAAGTAGTTGTTAAGTTTTAAAGATATAAACATCTATTTAGCGACATAATAGAGGGCATCATTAAAACATTGCTCCATTGCTGCTGCAATTCTGACTGTTATGATTTCTAAAAAAAAAGCCTTACTGGATGATGGGCCGCCTCCTGCACCGTGATTGGTCCAGCCTGTTATACTTTCTTTTATATCAAGCTGACTTATGCCCTGTGTAAACCAGTTTGTCTGGCTGGGCTAGTGAAAATTTGCCATCCAAGAATTTACATAAGTAAAAAGTAATTGATATGTAGGTATTAACAGTTTATAACATCTGGTTTAATATTAAAGATATTATGTAAGTGCAGAGACAAAAACATGTAGTTATTTGCAAAGTCTTGCATATTAAAGACAGATTAATAAAAAAAGAAAATTCAATAAGGGATTGCATTCGAGTCAATGAGTTGATGTAATCCACTGGTTTTCCTTAGATAGAAAACTTTGAAGCAAAATGACTGGATGATCTGGTTGAACTGTAAAGTGCCTTGAGATGACATGTGTTGTGAATTGGCACTATATAGATAAACTGAATTGAAATTGAATTGAACATAAATAATACCATAATATAACATGCAAAAATCAGGCTTTGGAAACACGTCCCAATCTATTTCTTTTACTCAAAAATTATGAAACCAATACTGTTTCAGAATGGAATAAAAGGTCAGTTCCAGTGAAATGTAAACTCTACTGAATATTTACTTAATCTCCAAATGGCTTAGCAGTACATTAAAGGTTGTGTATCAGTGAACATTTATTGTACGTGTGTTTTTCTTGTTCATATTTATTTAAAACAACCTTTTTCTTTATTTCATATAATTATTCCATATCCGCTGTCCATAGCGTTCCTTGACAGCGTCGTTTCTAAGTCACCAATTTAGTGCTACTTGGTCCCAATGGAATTTCCCATTGGGAACCTACTAGCACTAAATTGCTAACTAGATAGAAAGATGCTTCTAACAAACTGGCTGCAACCAAACTTGCTTGCAAACCTTCCGCCACAACAATCCCGCCCCCTTGATAATCGACCAATCACATTCACTTTTTTTACTCGTATAAAGTCGGGCACCACTCAGGAGAATTCAGAAATGCAACGGTTGGAACAGCCCCTTACCTATGACTTTAAGGTAGCCCAGCTTGTCTTTGTTTAAAAAAATGTATAAATAGACAGCAAATTTTTAAACATAAATATAAAATTGCTTGTTATTGTATTGTATTGACAACACTTTAATATCAGCTAAAGCAGGGGTGTTAAACTCGTTCCAGAAAGGGCCATGTGGCTGCAAGTTTTCTTTCCAACCAAGCAACAGCACACCTGACTCCA